ACTTTAACAACACTAAAACAGTACCAATGCTTCTTTTTTGGTACTGCTAAAAGCGTTCAGCGAAAATGAAACATGGTTTTGTGTTCCGCATGCAAAAAGCAAGAGAGCGCTTTGAAAAAACGTGGTTTGCCGTGATACCTCCCTTGTCAGGGATAATTAAGAAGTACGCGCTGCTTGTTGGCTAATTCTTTCTTAGCGAATTTTAGTAGGTAATGCACCTTTCTCAAGTTCTTATTGACTTTGAGACATTGTCACTCAAGTGAGCACCATGCCACATTTCCGGTAAAGGAACAGTCCACGAAAATTCATGATTCTATCTTACCCATAAATGCCTCAGGACCCATCACTCACAATAGGAACAAAAATAACAAGAAATTGCGCTTGTTTTGGTAAAGAATTCGAAAACCGTGAAGCCTGTTACGCGTTCAAAGTTGCCGCCGCACATCTGTCACAAATGCTGGCGACGGGAACGATCCCACTTGGTTCTCGGAGTACCTACTACGAACTCTTTTTGGCCCCTTCCGATTCCTTCAATCGTTGACGAAGACGTGGCCGTCTCAAGGCGCATTTCTTTTCATGCGTTACCTTGTCTACGTCCGACCTACTTGCGATCATTCTCAGAGTGTGGTTTTCGTACGTTTGCCTCCCGTAGAAACTGAATTTTTTCGGAACTTTGTACGTTGACATTCGTGATCACAGCTGACGTACTCATGTTGGGAAAGAAAGCAAGAATTTTTAGTGAACGATTTATTTATTTTCTGAGTGCGACTGACCTTTTAAAAAATAAAGGATAAAGCATTTTGCCGTTGATCAATCCCTTTTTGGGATGCGGCACGCATTCTACTTCCATTTGTACATTCGTAGTGGCGTTTGAATGCGATGTGGCCTATACAATGACTTGCGGGGGCCAGCCGATGTTCAAGTCAAGTGTTTTTTTTTATCCTCCCAGACAAGTCTGGTACCAATTAACCGACCCGGAGGGATGGAAGGCTTGGTTGGCCCGGGCGACTCACGACCCAGGATTTGATCCCCGGACCGCTCGCGTGGTAAGCGTGCCACTTGCCACTACACCACTTCCGCCCTTAAAAAATAAGTGAAAGCAAACGGCTGATTGAAATTTCGCTTCGCACTTATGAAGAGTGACTATTTCGTACTGGTCACTGTAAGCAAGCTAAGTTGTAAAAGGAATCACTGAGAGGGTAGGGAAGGACCTATTATCCTATGCAAAACTACTCTGCCAGAGCCTCCATCGTTCAATTGTTGCAGGATTCTCTGGTAGCCTGTTAAACTACTCGACCATGCTGCAGAATTTAAACCATGGACTTATGGAACCCGTTGTGGCAGTTTTTCTCATTTCTCCTATCTGCTGCTGCTTTTTTAAGGGGAGAACTTCCTCAAGAAAAAACAAAACATTGTCCTGCGACGGTCTTCGCCGGGTACATCGCTCAAACATTCAAGCGCTTAACGAAAAAGGTACAAATGCAACAAAGCAAATGTAACAAACTTGTGTTCCATTCGTGAAAGTGTGTTGATGGACAAGACTTTTGTTTTAATATATAAAGATTGGGCGGAAGTGGTGTAGTGGCAAGTGGCACGCTTACCACGCGAGCGGTCCGGGGATCAAATCCTGGGTCGTGAGTCGCCCGGGCCAACCAAGCCTTCCATCCCTCCGGGGTCGGTTAATTGGTACCAGACTTGTCTGGGAGGATAAAAACACTGACTTGTACATCGGCTGGCCCCGCAAGTCATTGTATAGGCCACATCGCATTCAAACGCCACTACGAATGTACAAATGGAAGTAGAATGCGTGCCGCATCCCAAAAAGGGATTGATCAACGGCAAATGCTTTATCCTTTATCCTTTTATAAAGATCAAAGGGGTCTATCCCAGTTAGGAGGGGCATCATGATGCGAACTAGTGTGAACTCGAACATTCCAGCTTTTCACGCATGTCAAGTGACTGCCCTCACCCCCACCCCCCTAGACTGGCTACACTCCCCTGGCTCGGAGTTACCCTAGCTTTCTGGAAAAACTGCATCACGATGCCCCCCTATCCCCCTCCCCCGAAGGGGAATAGATCTGATGAGACACATATCAATACATACAGGGGGGGGGGCAATAAAAAAGACATTTTGTCTCCACTTCAGATGGATTTAAGCACACTTTGCTCAATTCAGACCGAATGGTTCCAACTTATATTAAAGAGCGCATTTCATTCTATAAGAAAATCTTCATAGTGGCCACCTACGTGGACGGCATCAGAAGAATTTGCCCTGGAAACATGGTGCACTGGTCGAGCTCAATGGGGTCTTCGAAGGATCGTGTACCATAACGACCTTTACTGGAAAGCTAGTTTCGAGGGGATTTGCATAGTGGGAGCTAATGCCTCTAGAAAACTATCCAACATTAAATCGATTCACGAAATTGCGTAAGAGCTTCAGGCTGAAGCACTTACGGTAGACCTCCTTGAGCTGACGACGGTGACAGATGACGTCATATTCTGAAGACGGTGAGGGCAGTGAAGGAGGGCCTGCGTTCACTTATAGAGGGACACTTAGGGAATACTCTGCTGAGGAACTCCCGTCAACGACGGCAATCTCTGCGAAGAAAAAAGGGCCGAAGTCCGACATAGGCAAAATGTCTTTTTTTTTTGGCCCCCCTGTACATGCATTTGCTCGAGAAATTTTTACCGTCATCAACAATACCAATAACGAATACTGCCGAGTCGAATGAGCCCAGTTCCATCAAAATCAAAGGCATTGAGCTCACACGCCCCGCGACATCCAAATATCTTGGGCCTACAATTTCGTCTGATGGGAACTTGGCTTTCGAAGTCAAGTCGTGTTCGTGTGACTACAGCATGGCCCAAATGGCGCAGATGACTGGCGCTTTCTTCGACAAGAAGATGCCAGAGCAAATCGAAGATCTGCAGCACCGGGGCGACGGACTATACAATCGTCGGCTAATGAGGTCACGCCGCTCACGCGGCGAGAGCTCAGCGTGCGGCAGTTGCTGCGCGATTTTTCTGAGTGATACTTATTCTTATCCATCCATGCCCATAAGTTGGCTAGGTGACTGATAACACCAGAGTGCTGGACATCAGTAAGCCAGCAAGCGTCACTGTAAGATCCCTGCAGTGATTTAAGCCTCGCAGTACAAACTTTGTACCGTGTAAAGGTTGTCCTTTTGGATTTAATTTGACTTCTTTATTAATCAGTTTCCTGAATTTCTATCAGAGAGTGATAATCTGGTTCAATCGGAAAGAATATTGCGTATCAAGACACAGAGTAGCGGCGAGGAAGTAACTTCGTATGCTAATATTAAGATTTAATAATGCAGCGAAACACCCTGCATTTTAAAGATAAAGGTTTCTATATCATTTCTACGACTTAAGTTAATTTAATTTTCAATGTGATCGACTCTTTGAAAATCCGACGGATATCTGGCTGGCGGCGGCCGGCGCGCGACTACTTAGCCGACGGGATTGATAGTCAACGCACTCCGCAGCACGTATCACGACCAGGACGCAGTTCGGTGAATGAGTGACAAAAAAAGTCTGGAGCTCTGTTAATGGATGACGGAAAGCGCGAATGCTGCGCCTGATTCGGTTGCAGTCGACCCGTTTGGACGCAGTCAGGAATTCGTAAAAGAGCGTTCGGTGATGGCTCCACGCTGATAAGAAACGCCAATTCTCGCCCGATTATTCCAGTACGTTCGCAATGATGACATTGGTTCTGCAGCTTCGATCTGCTAAAAAACGGCTCAAGGAAGGAAAGCAGCGCTAGTGATACCTTAAAATAGTTGGCCTCCTGCCTGACCGAGCGGAGAATCGGCTAATTGTAAGGAGGCGTTGACACAGCAGGAAAACGGATTTCGCTACAAAGTCCGAGAAACGCTGAAGGCTAAGAAGAAGCTGTGCAACTGTTGTTAGGGGTAGGGGTTCGTAAGTACTTCCGATACTGTCCAACTGTCACAGAAGCTCACAAAAAAGAAGTATTCTCGGCAAAGTCTATAAGGGCAATTTCGTGTTCTGGTAGCGAATATGGCACCAGCGTTGGTCGGTTTTCTGGTCGTCTGTGCCTCTCACTGGTGAAATGATACTCAAGGCAGATATCATACTCTATAATTCGAGCGAGTGCAATCGAGCAGATCGTGGAGTCTGACGTCTGCCCGGACCAGTCTATGGATGAAAGGTGAATAGAAGGCTCCGGTTGGATAAGCCCTAACTGTCTCGCAAAATATGGAGTGCAAGGAGATCACACGGTTAGCGGCTTATCTACCCGAAGCCCACCTCCTCAACCTTTCAAGTCTAGGTTCCTTCTTTTATTAGACGTTATCTCGTCATCCCCGACCCTTATAGGCAGACAATGTATTTCTTAATGTGGCGTTGTCGTGCGCCTAAAATAGAATCGTAAACTATGGTCAGCACGCAAATCAGCTAAAGCTACCAAGCCTTTCTTTGCGGCCTAGTCAGAACGTCTCATTCTCCCAATGTTTGATTCAAAAAAGTAGCAGCAGTAGTAGCCCCGTGGGACGAAGGAGTTTGTGATGGGCTTTCAGGTTACCAAGGCTACTGGCTGATAAGCTCATTGGCAATGTTCGAGCACAGCAGTGGCAGTTCAGCACGGAAAGATGGCAACTGAGCATCTGACTCTATCGAAAGTCATGGGTAATTTTTGCTCTTGAACAAACATCCTCCACAAAGTTACCGTGCGCAGTGATTTGCTCCGCATCCCGCGAGCGCGACATTGCCGCCTTTTCAAGCGTCTCGTACGCAGCTGCGGGACCTATCTTGTACTTTTCTACCTCGACTCTTTCTAGTGTGGTGTGGTTCAGCTTCTATCTATACTGCTCCTGATGACGGCACATTCATAAGATACCTCTCATACTAACATGCTTTACTTTCCCTAATTACATGATAATTGTTGACGCTTACGTCTTTGTTGCGGCTTGGAATTTTGTTTGATTTCTTGTTCAAATGTTTCTGTTTTCTAGTCCACGATGTCACATCGTGGTGGTGGTGATAGTTCATCAAACACAGCTAATGAGCCACAGTCTAATCCACCAAATCCAGAAAAGGAAAATGAAATGACAGGCGAAGTAAGTGTCGTTGTCAGAATAGCTGGAGTGGTGATTTGGATGTAGTATGCATTGCAATTTTTGGTGTAGTATAACTTACAAAATACTATTTCAGGACCTTTTCCGTATAAAAAGTGCTGTGACCAGCTCGGCAGGTTCGTTTTCTTCGTATTTCTACTATTTGATGTTTTGGTGCTATGCAATTATCACGGCAAAATCATCAAAAATTTTATTTTCGTCGAAACTTCGCCTATAGGGGTGATTCAATGACTTCATCTTTATCGCTGACGCTCTTTAGCGCCCTGGCTATGTTCACCAAATTCGGTTCAAACTTGGGTACAAAGAGTTTTTTGGTGCCCTCAGCGCGAAAGTAGCTTTCGTTTCGGTGCCAAGCTTTCTGACGCCTTTCTCGTCTGGACCCTGCTACTTTTCAGCCTTCAGGAGCGCGAGTTTTCGCTGCGGGATCCCTAGTTCTCCTTAATGAGGTGTGGACTTGGGGTTCTTGCCGCAAAGAAAGTTTCGCTAGCAAAAAGTGCAAAATTCTCTCTCTGTCCTCGGGAACCACACCGGAGTTCAAGGTTGGGATGCCCATTCGCTGCTAGGCGGTAATTGAAGTGTGTTGGGATCACAGGCTCATCTACCCTCAATCGCTCCCCTCCCGTTCCACTTTATGCTTACAATTGGTCCAAAGCGCTTCATCATTGAATTCGCAGTCGAGCAGGAAATGGGCGTTCAAGAGCTCTAGTGCCAGAAAACAAGGTATATTTTATTCAGGGCACCAAACAACACCTATGTGCACACAAGTTTACTTGAGTTGGGGGAAAAGTCGTGGCTCAAGATGAGGGCCATTTTCGTAATCAGTGCACTGAATAACTCCCATGGGCAAATTGTTGACAAAACTGAAAGTCGAGTCTTGCATTCGTAACTCTTGAATTATGCCAATGTATTTAAATAGGTCTTTTCTACATCGTAAGGTATTGTGACAGTGTTGTTGGTACTGCTTTAAAAGGTACAATTCAGTGCTGTTCGAGAATTTTTCGTTACAGGCGCAAGCGATACTGCAGACCAGTCAGTAATCTCACTCGCGGATTCAGCTAGCAATTTCGACGAGCATGTTGGTGACGAATTTGACGAAGTTGAAACGGTGGAAACCGCGAATGGTGAAGCAGCTGACTTGCAGGTACTTTGCTACAGAGTTAAATCGGTTTTTTCTCATGTTTTCTCTTTTAAGTAGCTATACTAGAAATCGCACACTGATCGCATGATTTTCTGTTCATACTGTTAGAGGCGAACGTAAATTGAAGAGACACGTCCGCTGAATTTCTGAAACAGAAAACTTGTGAAAACGTTCACTGTAGAACGCTTTTACAAGTTTTCGCATAGCTCTGAACTAGATTCTAGTTATAGACTCCCCTCCACCGATTTATGTTTCCTACTTTATTTGTCTTTCACGTGAGCTGTGTTTTAGCTCGAAGCAAACACACGGTTCTTTTGTTATTGCTTTAGAGCCGAATATTCAATGGGTGGATGTTTGATCGTAAACGTCCATTGAACATACAACTTCCGCAAGACACAGGTAAGATTTCTTCTTCTTCCTAGGCAATAGCCCTAATATTCTTCGATTCAGTTACCGTCTTGAAATATCCGAGAAATCTGCCAATTCCACCATGTCCCGATGGGATCGATCCATCTAGCTGGGCTAAAGCTTTCGAAGAGGCTTCGGTTTATTTAATCGGAACTGCCCATTTCAGGTGCTCTTCAAGAATGCTTCCTCGAATTCTCGAATCGTAGTAATATATTTGTTAAATTTGCAGCAAAGAATCTCAAGAAGATGTCATCAAGACTATCGCAATCACGCAGC